ATAGGATGCCACCTTTCCAACAAGTCAGTTTGTCAAATTTCTGCCCTGCTAGAGCTGCCCCGGTCAACTGTAAGTGCTGTTATTGTGAAGTGGAAACGTCTAGGAGCAACAACGTCTCAGCAGCGAAGTGGTAGGCCACACAAGCTCACAGAACGGGACTGCCAAATGCTGAAGCGCGTAGCGTGTAAAAATTGTCTGTCCTCGGTTGCAACACTCACTACCGAGATGCAAAATGCCTCTTGAAGCAACGTCAGCACAGGAACTGTTCATCGGGAGCTTCATGAAATGGGTTTCCATGGCTGAGCAGCTGCACACAAACCTAAGATCACCATGTGCAATGTGAAGCATCGGCTGGAGTGGTGTAAAACACTTGTCACCATTGGACTCTGGAGCAGTGGAAAAGCGTTCTCTGGAGTGATGAGTCACGCTTCACCATCTGGCAGTCCGACTGACGAATCAGGGTTTGGCGGATGCGAGGAGAACGATACCTGCCCGAATGCAAATGATCAGGCTTACAACTGTGGTGTCGTCAGCAAACTTGATGATGGAGTTGGTGTCGTGCAAAGCCACAAAGTCATGTGAGGATAGTGAAATCAACAAGGGTGTCATACAATGCTACAGTAATACAAGGGATATGGACACAAATAGGGTTGCCTTGAACAGTGCCCGGCTAGCAACACCATTTATATTCCTTCTTTAAGCTAGTCTGCAAGTATTTTTTATTTTTACCCCCTTTTTCTCCCCAATGTCGTGATATCCAATTGGTAGTTACAGTCTTGTCCCATCGCTGCAACTCCCGTATGGACTCGGGAGAGGTGAAGGTCGAGAGCCATGCGTCCTTAGAAACACGACCCTGCCAAGCCGTACTGCTTCTTGACACACTGCTCGCTTAACCCGGAAGCCAGCCGCACCAATGTGTCGGTGGAAACATCGTACAACTGGCGACCGTGTCAGCGTGCATGCGCCCGGACCGCCACAGGAGTCCTAGAGCGCGATGGGACAAGGATATCCCGGCCAGCCAAACCCTCCCCTAACCTGGACGACGCTGGGCCAATTGTACGTCGCCTCATGGGTCTCCCGGTCGCGGCCGGCTGCGACACAGCCCGGGATCGAACCCGGATCTATAGTGACTTCTCAAGCACTGCAGAGTGTCTCCCAACATCCCCAACAGCCTCATCACTGAGTCTATGATAGCTATATTTTACCCACAGGGCAACTCCTCTGTTTCACTTGAACCTATAACCAAACAGGACACAGGGGCAATGCTCTTTTAGGGTGGAGGGGCAGTGGAATTCTGACGAAGGAGGAGCCCCCTGCCCCCTGGAAGCCTGAGTGTCCTGAGTGACCTCTCTCTGTGCTTAAAGCTAACTAACACAGGCCTTGTCTGACCCTGACTCGGCTCACCACCCAACCAGCAGCACCCTAACATGGCATTTGATCCAACAGGTCAGCACCCCAGGCAGCTTGCAAACCATGTGGAATCCAGCTCCAACATTACACCACTCACGCACTACTAGTGCTTAGCTTAGCAGAAGGGCATGTGAGTGAGTGAACAAATAATGGCTCAGTTAACTGACAAGACAAGCATCATATTCTCCCTGCCAATTCACATCTCACTGAAGCAGATGTCTTTCAGCTTAGCAGATCATGTTAGCTTGCCGCTACCGCCTTTACTGTGGTTTTGTAATGCTAGTTTGTTGAATACTGTTGTTTAGTGAAGCACAGTATTGTCCCTGTTTTGGTCTCTGAATTGCATGGAAAATAATTTGTGTGTGTGTAGCAACGGTTATCAAAATTGTTTTAAAAACAATTCTAATAAATGCAATAGTTGTACAATGGATGAAGACACTCCAAACGTTTAGAATTGTTTTAATCCATCAGATATTGACTGAATTATAGCACATATAAAGGTTTACTGGCACAGACAATTAATTAATGGAGTTCAGGGATTTTGGTGGGAATTCAGGTATTACATTTATTGTCAAATTTCACATTTGTTTTTTTGAATGCACTCATATATACATTTTTTAAATATTTTGTGTTAAAATAAAGCAAATTACATGTGCCTCATTTGTATAAAAACACAGAGTGGATTTGCATATTTGAATAGATTAACATTAAGGGGAGGAATAGGCCTGCAACCACCAAAAACCTGCTCTGTCTAGGCCTACCTGCACTCACCTGCGCTGTCTAGACTGCCTCATTAATTACTGTTTTTTTCATGTTCTGTTACATAATTCAACAAGTGTATCAATATCAGGATACCCTCAGATTACAAACCAACAGTTTGGCTCTATATTACACCTATTCATACATAGTGCTTAATTTGTAAATCGGGGGGTGCCAGAACAAAAAGTGAGCGCTAGAGTGGGGTGACCTGGGAGTTCTAAGGTTCTGGAACACATAAGAAAACCCTAAAACTTTATAATAAAGCATTGCATGCATATCATCGCATTTGCTAGTGGCATAGAGCAGTAGAGTAGAGGCACTTCCAGAAGTTGCACACATGGAGAACATTTTTAGTAGCCTAGGGTCCTGGAAAAATGTGCCCTTTTATAAATACATTTCATGCAATTCTATTTCATTTTACATGACTGGAGACTTTGGCAGAATCTTTTATTAATACCACACAAATGATCGAAATGGCAGGCACTGACAAACTGAAACTCTGAGAAAAACTACAACGACCTTGTCTTGAATCCATCAATAGCCTAGGACTATGTGTACGGAGACACATATTGTAGGCTACAATATGAGGAAGAAATTATAGTCCTAAAAATGCTTTCCAGTTTCACTGACTCACCCAATGATGCGCAGCTCACTTGTTGGTGATGGCCGATGCGCTCATGCCAAAAGCCTCTCTCTCTCTCTCTCTTTTGTAAAACAATATTTGGAAGTTGATCAAATATTTTGGTAGCCTACAGCATAGTCTTCTCTTTTCAGCAGGAGCCATTTGCTTTACAACCTGTGTTTTCCCTCGATTGTATTTGAAATATTGCGAAAGGCCTGTTTTGTCTGCATGCTGTTTTTTCACTGATAGATTTGCCGCGCGTTCCCGACTGTAGGCTATTCCTCGTTATTGGGCTCAATCCGCAGCTAGACTATTTTTAAAAAGAAGCTATTGATCCTCTGTGGCTAAATTATAGGCCTTATCATGGTGTACTAGGCTATTCTGAATGATTTCATTGATTTCTGAACAGACAGCAGTAATGTATTGGCAAATGTATTTCAATTTATCTATGATTCTATAAGGAAATAAATAATGAAGTGCAACACTGGAGAGATGATGAGCAGCAAGAGGAACTGCCCCTCCCTACCTTCAGGCTATGCTCATGGGAGAACTTGGGAAGGTTGAAAACCAGGCGGGCTGCAGCATTCTGGATAAGTTGCAGGGGTTTGATGGCATAAGCGGGGAACCCAGCCAACAGCAGGAGATGCCTGGATTAGGACCTGCACCACTTCCTGTGTGAGGTAGGGTCGTACTCCACAGATGTTATTGAGCACGAACCTGCAGGAGTGAGTCACTGCTTTGATGTTGCACAATTGAGAGCATCCTGTCGGGCTGCATCACCGCCTGGTATGGCAACTGCACCGCCCGCAACCGCAGGGCTCTCCAGAGGGTGGTGCGGTCTGCCGAACGCATTACCGGTGGCAAACTACCCGCCCTCCAGGACACCTACAGCACCCGATGTCACAGGAAGGCCAAAAAGATAATGAAGGACATCAACCACCCGAGCCACTGCCTGTTCACCCTGCTATCATCCAGAAGGTGAGGTCAGTACAGGTGCATCAAAGCTGGGACCGCGAGAATGAAAAACAGCTTATATCTCAAGGCCATCAGACTGTTAAATAACCATCACTAGCACATTAGAGGCTGCTGCTGCCTATTGAAATCACTGGCCACTTTAAGAAATGGAACACTAGTCACTTTAATCATGTTTACATATCTTGCATTACTCATCTCATATGTATATATACTGTATTCTATAATATTCTACTGTATCTTAGTCCATGCCGCTCTGTCATTGCTTGTCCATATATGTATATATTCTTAATTCCATTCCTTACTTAGATATGTGTGTATTGGGTATATATGTTGTGAAATTGTTAGATATTACTTGTTAGATATTACTGCACTGTCGGAGCTAGAAGCACAAGCATTTCGCTACACACACAATAACATCTGCTAAACATGTGTATGTGAAAAATACAATTTTATTTTATTTTATTTGAAACCCTACACCCCAACCCAAGCACTCTGTTCTGCCACTTCTGGTCTCTTGGCCCTCCCACCCACCCCTATGGGAGGGCAGCTCCCACTCAGCCCAGTCCAAGCTCTTCTCTGTCCTGGCACCCCAATGGTGGAACCAGCTTCCCGCTGAAGCTAGGACAGCAGAGTCCCTGCCCATCTTCCGAAAGCACCTGAAACCCTACCTCTTCAAAGAGTATCTTTAATAAATGGTGATAGGGCTGTCTATCATTCTGTATTGTCTGGTATAGGCTACTATCTGTTTCAGTTCCATTTCTGGAACGGTTGTGTGTAGTTTCCATGTGTTTCTGTCCTGTTTGTAGTGTAGCTAGAGTCAGACTCATAGAGAGCTGCCTGCCTAGTGCAGTCCTGAGGCTCCAGCGGATTGGCTCTGTTTCAGAGTGGGGCTAGGCAGGCAGGCAGGGTGAATGAGCTGTGGGGTTGATTTCACACTGCAGTTGGCAGCTGCTTTTCCTGCAGTCGGGACCCAGCACACACCCCAAGGGTCAGACTCACTGGCCTGGAATCCCAGCCTGCCTGCCTGACTGCCTGCTGCATGACAGAGGCAGCGGAGGAGGCACAAGCCCAAAATGTGAATAAATAAATCCATCTCACATCACAGTGGACGCCAGCGTTTACACTGAGGGCTGATGCATCACAGACACACAGTGATACCCCACTATGCTCCGGTGATAAATGGTGTATCTCCGCAGTGCATCCGGTTGAGTGTTTTATCTCTGAACTACCAAACCTTGAGAGGAAGGGGCTTCAGAATATTAAGTGTAAGAGTGCAAAAGTGTAAACCTTTCCGCTCACTGTTCACTGCAGCTGATTTCAGATACAAATCGTGGCCAGCTGTCAAACTGTTTTTGGCACTGTGCACATACACACGCACATAACAATATACAATACATTCATACTGTAACCAGACACACCCAAACTCACACACACACAACATGGGGGGCTTACCTGTGACTTTGAGCTCTGTGGTCCTCCTCACCACCCGGCTGCCATATTTCAGCTCACAGGTGTAGTTCCCGCCGTCGTCCTCCTGCACCTCAGGAAACCAGATGTTGGTGATGTTCACCATGACGGAGCTCCGCCACGTCCTCTTCTCACACTCCTAGACAGACATTAACATCACACAGTGTTATACCACGTCAGTTTCATCTGGTTTTCATATATTAAAAAAAAAAACATTCCCCAATTGGTAGTTACAGTCTTGTCCCATCACTGCAACTCCCGTACGGACTCGGGAGAGGCGAAGGTCGAGAGCCATGCGTCCTCCGAAACACGACCCTGCCAAGCCTCACTGCTTCTTGACACACTGCTCGCTTAACCCGGAAGCCAGCCGCACCAATGTGTCGGAGGAACATGCAACTGGTGACCGTGTCAGCGTGCATGCGCCCGGACCGCCACAGGAGTTGCTAGAGCGCGATGAAGACATCCCGGTAGGCCAAACCCTCCACTAAACCAGACGACGCTCAGCCAATCATGCGTCGCCTCATGGGTCTCCCGGTCGCGGCCGGCTGCGACACAGACCGGGATCGAACCCGGATCTGTAGTAACGCCTCAAGCACTGCACTGCCTTAGACCTCTGCGCCACTCGGGAGGCCACTTGGTTCCATATCTTTTGATCCAACTCAGTCATTAACTACCGATTCACTATGTTAAGTTAAGTTACGTTTATTTAGATACCCATTAGTGTATCAGGGCTAATCTTCCTGGGTTCATACACAAAGAATATACAACATTTCTGAGAAAAAGAGTGATTTGTTACCTTATACCAGGTCATCTGGGGCTGCTTGTAAGGGGCGAGGTAATCCTCGATGTCGGGGCAGTTGATCATCTTGCTCTTAGTGATCTCTGCTTTCTCCAGGTGGCGTATTTTACTGTTGAAGCACAGGCCCTCGTCATTCTCCTCCACCGCCAAGGACATGGACACCTTCATGCAGTAGGTGGAGTTTCTGCAGAAAGGGAACACAACACAGGAGGCTTTATGTTTCCCCAAGTTCACCTCTAGCCAAGGGTCATCACACACACAAAAGCACACATCGATTTCTCCACAGGGTTTCATCTGTGAACCAGCAGAGCTCTTAAACACTGTCATTCATTTCATCAATGCCTCCCTGCCTGCCTGTGATGATGTGAAGTGGGGCTTCATTTTACTTTTTTTTGCCAACAACATCAAGAACAATATGCAGTTTGAACATGGAGGACATCGGAATGGAATATTTCAAAATACTTCAATTAGTAAAGAGATGCGGCTCCCCCTGAAGTGGCAGGAGCACATACTGTATGGGGAATGAATGCGCATATCATTGCACTAGGCAGTCACCAGCCTGAAGTACAGGTGTCCTTCAGGGAGGCCTGTGTCAGGGCACATGACCCCCAGCTCCACACATAGCTACTGCCATGGCTACTACACTAGGTTCCCATTGAAAATGCATGAGGGCCTTCAGGCATGGGATTGCCCTCCAGTGGCATTGTGTGTCAGCTAAGGCCCCCTGAACTTCCGCTCGCAAGTTCAGCCTGTTTGATACCAAGATGTAACTTTTCAGCATGAAACATTTAGCTGGTTTTAGACTTGGACATCAGGTAGGTTGTGTATGTGTGTGTGTGTGTGTGTGTGTGTGTGTGTGTGTGTGTGTGTGTGTATGTGTGTGTGTGTGTGTGTGTGTGTGTGTGTGTGTGGACGTGTTTAACTATTCTTGTGGGGACCAGAAATCCCCACAAGAATAGTAAACGAACACAAATTTGACCAACTGGGGACATTTTCTTGGTCCCCACAAGGTCAAATGCTATTTCTAGGGGGTTTAGGGTTAAGGTTAGAATGAGCGTTAGGGTTAGAATTAGGTTTAGTGTTAGGGTTAGGAGCTAGGGTTAGGGTTAGGGTAAGAGTACGAGTTAGGGTTAGGGTTAGGGGTTAGGGAAAATAGGACTTTGAATGGGACGGAATTGTGTTTCCCCACAAGGTTATCTGTACAAGACTGTGTGTGTGTTTGTGTGTGTATGTGCGTGTAGAATTCCTAATCTCAGGCAACAGAGATAGAGAGTATAGCTGTCCTGGGCTACTTTCCTTATTTTAGAAGAAGATTAACTATGACTAAAAAACTGTTCACAGGGCACTTGCTGTGTCTGGTGACAACGGTCTCATATTGTGACAAATAAAAAGCCAAACATCAACAGACAAACAGGGAACAGATGTGTGAAGTCACTCAGGACAAATGCGGATGTGTTACTGACAATTAGCCCAGTTAATCACACTGCATAACTATTGTGCAATCCTGATACGACTGCTTCCACTTCATTAATAATTAATCTCTCCCCTCCTGCAATTACTCTCAAAAGAATACGCCTGGGCTACACCCCACCAATTGAATGATATGCTTAGTAAAAAATAGATTTCTGTGTGCTCGCGGTTCATGTTTACATCTGTTAATGTGAGCTTCAAATTAATTTTACAATTAATCTAACACACGACAACATTCAAGATGTGGCCCACTCAGGTGGGTCAGTGTCGCATGGATCACTGTGCACGGGCTCTTAGCTTTCTTGAGACATGATTGAATAAGCATTAAGAACATCCATACGCCTGCATGACTTCCTGCCAGGCTGATTTCATGTAATTTCCCCTACACAGGTTTCTGTGTGAGCTATGGCACAGAGAGCCAAACTGTGTAAATGCCTTCTTGGCAGAGGTAGTTTCCTATATTGCTGGGGGACCACACCGACACTGCAGCCATGGAGGTCAATGCAGGAGCCTTTCATTGCAGTGACCTGACCTTGGAACTCTATGGGGTAAACATCCACAGACAGACAAGAGAGCGACTGAGGCTCCGCTGCAGGTAGGTCAGCCATGTTGTTCTGTTCTGCTGCATTTCCTGTTTGTCCTAAGAACCACCTGAGAAAGTACATAGCCTCAGAACATCTAGAAGAGGCTTGTCTGGGGAGAGCAGTGACATCGCAGCTCCCAGTCCTGGCAGATGAGACATACAGTACACAGAACTGCTCTGTGGGGCACCCTGCCACGGGCCCTCCCCTCACACAGGGAGAGGATGAGGGGGAAGTTGGAGATTAAATCATATGATTAATTCACTGGTAATGAACCTCATTCTGTTCCTTCCCTTAGCTCTCATATAACTCTCTCTGTGGAAGATGGGCCTAGGAGGACCCCAGGGCCAATTATACTGACTGACAATGTGTTGCTCTATGAGCTTCACAGAAATTAGCACTGTCTGCCACTACAATTTGACCTGTTTTCATAATGGATCATCCGCTGAGATGGCCTATACCACAGAGAGCAGCATCTTGGCACTCTTGTCTAATACTAACACTCCCTTTTCAATATACATAAGGGATGGTTCGACATTTACAGAATGGGGACCTGGAGGAAAATGGGGGAGGGCCATGCCTTTTCAATTTCAGTCCGGGGGAGGGTTTAGTATTTTTTTTATCTAGTCCAGGGGAGGGTCATGTAATTTGCAATTCATGAAATGTCTATATTTCTCAGTGTTTTAGAATTATTTGCTTATTAGGCTATATATGGATGTGTACCTGATGCCGTCCCTCATCTCTTAATCTTCGCTGGGAGCGCAATATCAAGTGTGCCTATAGGCCAGTGGTCACCAACCTTTTCTCAGTCACGATCACTTTCTGAGTCAAAATGCAAGCCGAGATCTAATGGTCAGATTGTTTTTTTTAAACAGGACTTAAAAAACGTAAGCCTATGCAACATTAACCAATTAAAAACAGTTCTGTAGCAATGAGGTTTGTGCAGTAGGCTGTTAATGTTCTCAGACCATTTGGAAATTATATATTTTTTAATGTAGGTATATGATCACACTGGTAATTTTGTCATTTGCACTTGTCATTTGTGGGATCTTGTTCCGGAGAGGTTTGTGTTTGTTAACCTCAGGACTTCACGTATCGTTTTGTTGTTTTTGTTATCGTTATATAAGTACTCATTAAAAGATGTACGCATATCACGCTGCGCCTTGGTCCACTTCTTACGACGATCGTGACAGAAGATCCCACCAAAACAGGACCAAGCAGCGTTTCCAGGAGCAAACGCCGGGTAAGGAGCTGGAGAGGTTGGTGATGGCCCAGGTGGGCCAATGGTGGTCCTGGGAGGACATGTTCGCGGGCAAAGGGCCATGGGCTAAAGTTAAAGCCCTGGCGAGAGAGGAGGTACGGCGCCAACAGTGTCGTTGTCGGACAGGCGAGAGGCAACCCCAATAAATGTTTTTGGGGGGGCACACGGCATGGACGATGGGGCTGCTGGAGGCAGCTACAGGGCGAGATTGTGGACTAGGAGAGAAGGCCACCAGGTTACGGGGGCCATTGGTCATTAGAGGGAAGGAGAGTGTACAGGCACGGCGAGAGGTACTGGGGTGTGTTACCAGTCCGGCCCGGCCCGTTCCTGATCCCCGCACAAGCCCAGTGGTGTGTGTTTCCAGTACGGTCCGGCCTGTTCCTGTCCCTCGCACCAAGCCTGTGATGCGCGTCGCCAGCCTGGCCCGGCCTGTTCCTGCCCCTCGCACCAAGCCTGTGGTGCGCGTCGCCTGCCCGGCCCGGCCTGTTCCTGCCCCTCGCACCAAGCCTGTGGTGCGCGTCGCCAGCCCGGCCCGGCCTGTTCCTGCCCCTCGCACCAAGCCTGTGGTGCGCGTCGCCAGCCCGGCCCGGCCTGTGCCTGCTCCCCGCACCAAGCCTGTGGTGCGCGTCGCCAGCCCGGTCCGGCCTGTTCCTGCTCCCCGCACCAAGCCAGTGGTGCGCGTCGTCAGCCCGGTCCGGCCTGTTCCTGCTCCCCGCACCAAGCCAGTGGTGCGCGTCGTCAGCCCGGTCCGGCCCATTCCTGCTCCCCGCACCAAGCCTGTGGTGCGCGTCGTCAGTCCGGCACAGCCCGTGCCTGTTTCACCGGTGCCTGGTCAGGTACCGGTCAGCTGCTCCACACCGGAGCCTAAGCAATCCGCTCCACCGATGTCCAGTCCAGCTCCAGCCAGCGGGACCAGACCAGGGGCGCTACGGGGGGTTAGTTAGAGGGTGGTGGTCACGCCCGGAGCCGGATCCGCCCCTCCCTTGTTGGGTTTAGTTGGCTCGGTCGCAGTCCGCGCCTTTTGGGGGGGGGGGGGGGGGTACTGTCACGCCCTGGCTCTGGGGACTCTTATATGTTGAGCCAGGGTGTGTAGGGTCTATGTTTTGTGTTCTATGTTCAGTTTCTAGTTCATGTGTTTTCTATGTTGGCCGGGGTGGTTCCCAATCAGAGGCAACATGAATCAGCTGTTGCTTGTTGTCTCTGATTGGGAACCATACTTAGGCAGCCTTTTATGCACTTGTCATTTGTGGGATCTTGTTCCGGAGAGGTTTGTGTTTGTTAACCTTAGGACTTCACGTATCGTTTTGTTGTTTTTGTTATCATTATATAAGTACTCATTAAAAGATGTACGCATATCACGCTGCGCCTTGGTCCACTTCTTACGACGATCGTGACAGTGAGGCACAGCTGAGTGAGCATTATAGTCTTCCTGCTGATGGCAAAACTCAAGTCACACTGCATTTTTTCTGCCTCATGCACCAATTCATGTTGTTACTCCTATGACCAGAGAAAGTGAAATATACCTTTATTAAAAAAGACACTCCGCTAAAAATAACAAAGGAAGCTTATTGTAACACTATGCTATACTCATTCATTACAGCTGCAGTGCTGGTTGGTGCGTGAGTGGCAGTAGGGAGAATGCGCATTTTATGGCTTATAAATGTGTTGAACAAAGTGTTGACAGTGCTAAATAACTACTTAAACATGAACTTACTCATAAAAACAGCAGCTCTTTGATGTATTCATTGAGTCTCTCTCTAGTCATGGTTGCAGTATCGACTGCTGTGCGTTCAAGGCTTTTTTTTTACAGTCTATGGCTCAAGGAAACCACAGAGGAAACTGCGCAGACACAGTGATCTGAGCTATCTGATTGGCCAGTGGTAGGCCTATAGGTGCACTTGATTTGCTCTCTGGGCCTGCCGGGTAGGCGGAGTTATACCTTCAGACACATGAAATGGTTCAAAATGGGAACACTGCCTTCCTGGCACTAGGACTGCTGAATCAACAGCGCGAAA